AAAATCAGGAACCYCAYGTAGGAACCAAACACAGATCGAGGAGCTCAACACAATTCATGSATTTACTGTAATAAAATATTTCCCTTTCTGAATGACCAAAATACCTTAAAATATTGAGATGCTTTCAAAGAAAAAAAAAATTTAACCACTGCACCTGCTGTCTGATTTTTATTGGTCTTTCCAAGAAGAAAGAGGTAGGCAAACCCTACGAATAATCCATCTAGTCTGGATAACATTTGCATCCAGAGATCTGCATGTAAATTTTAGGAATCAGATTCTAGATCTGCATGTAGTTTAAGGAATTGAAGAAGGAAAGTTCTATTTGGACAACCAAAATATTTTGTGAGGGCTTCGTCCCTTGTTGCCCTTTCCCCCCTGTCCATCAGTGGAGGAGTTTTGTACCAAGTTTCACTGCTCAGAGCTGATGGTTTCAGGAGATTCCCCAGCTCCACACTCTGCAGGGGGATTTTATCAGTTCAGTGCTGGGATGGAATGCACACAGGTGACAGAGGTTTTAGTCCTGGCTTTGCTGAGCAGAGCTCTCCATCCCTCCCCAGTGGCTCTGCTGMTGGTCCCAGTSCTGCCCATGGGATGAGGAGTGCCCAAAAAGGGTGAAGAGCCATCTGCTTGGTCCAGCAAAGTTCCTTTTTTTCATTTCTGCAGTCACTGTGGATGGATGGATGGATGGATCCTCAGCCTGTCAGAAAGTGAAGTTTCACCCCAAAATTATATTGCTGCCTTTTCAAGACCCCCAGTAAAGAATGTCCCCTCAGCCCTTCCAGGGATGTCATACATTTCAGTTCTCTTTACAACAGGAAAATGCTCCTATTTTAGAGATTTTAATCTTAATATACTGAGGTTATTAAAATCTTCCTGAAGTTAACAAAATTTAATCTCACAAAAACGGGAAGAGAGGGAACTGAGATAAAGCTGTCCTTGGAGACAGATCTGAGAGGCAGCTCCTCTTCAGAGAACACTCATGTTCTGTGTCAAATACACAAATTCTCCAGTCCATAATGTCACTCCCAGCATTTCCCACTCCTGCACTGACAGGGAGCCAAAGTCACCTCTGTCCATTCAGGACCAAAGATGGATTGGAAGTTGTTGAATAAAGCTGTTCACAGCAGGATATACATCTGTCTTAGGCTTTCATATCAGATTTTTTTTCATAGTGCAAGATTAATTAGACAGAGACAAAATCCCCCGCATTAAAATGCCTACAGTTCACATGTATTACATGTTTTTAAATCCATTATTCCACATTCCRCATTTGGGGATAAAAAGAAAATATTGTTGTCAATTATAAAATGCTAAAGATAGCTCTATACTCTTTTAAATGAACAATGATAAAAGCCTTGAAAAATTCCCTTTGATGTGAATGGAGTCTTCAGCATTTTGAAATACAATAAGATGGATTAATTGCTACTCATTAGGCAGCAAGTTGGGACAGCTTTGAATGCACATTCTCTTCTTGGCATTAGCTATTGCCTGGCTGAAATAGCCAGCTTTTGTATTTACTCCTGTCTTCTCTAATAATAAGCAAATTGGAGATCAGGGCTAGAAACGCTGAAGTGCTCTCTATCTTTTGTCCAGAACAATTGTATATTGTCATGATTTGTTTATCTTTTTCGAGCTACAGCTAATTATTGTAAAGGTTATTTGAATCAATAYGAGATCTGAGCAGAAATAATGTCTGCAAAATTGCTTATTAGGAAGCTATTTTATGTTAGTGTTACTGTAACATGCATTTTGTGAGCAAATTGTTGTTTCTTATGCCTTTTTTTCACTTATATGAAAAGTTTCGTGTTTTAAATATTGGTACAGGTTTTAGAGCTTCTTGAATTAATACTGTTCTGTTGTGCTTCCTTTTCATCATACTATCTTAGATTTTTTTTCTCCCAAAATCATAGATAACATGGTATTTAAAGCCCCATTTATCATTCTAGGATAACAGTTTTTGGGGTTTTTTTTTGCTTAAGAACTTGTTTGAACTGATTGATTGAATTATTCTTCCGTTTRTGTTGGATTAAAAGAAAGTCAAGCACAAATCCTTTTGTGCTTTTCATGTAGAACTCTTGTTTCATGTGGGGCTTTTATAGATGCTAAGATTTATCATTGGATGATACTGGGGAATTATTATTATCTAATTTAACCATGTATTTTGCATTTCAAAACTAGTTGTGAAAAACAAACCTCAAGGGCCTGATTCATTAAAAGTTGTGGTCTCCTTGCACGAGATGCTGAGGGTGTACATCTCCCAAAAACAAAGCTGAGCTGGGAGGAGTGGGCTACAACATGAGACAATGTTGGTCTGCAGTGCAGGGATGGTGTTTTGGGGATTTGGTGGGACTGGAGCACTGTGACTGTGCTCCAAATCCACCTTGGTACCATTCATTATAATTTGCCCCTCGGTGCAGAAGGAGGGGAAGGCAGAGGCTGAGCACAGTCCGTGCCATTCCTGGGCACCAGCAATCCCATCCCAGCTCAAAATTAAATGGGGTCAAACCAGGTCAGGGCCAGATGGGACCAGTCCAAGGAATACCTGAGGCTCCAGTTGAATTTAATGATTCAGTCAGAAATACTGTCCCCAAACCTCTGCTGAGGGACAGCACTGCAGCACACGGGGCCAAACTTTTATTTTACTGCATCAATGTCAACCACATGGAGCTGAAAGAAATGATTCCAGCTTTACAGAGCAGCACAAGTGAGAGCAAACCCAAACCCCTTCTGTCTTGAACAAGATAGGAAAACAATGCACTTCAGTTGGTTCAGTGTCTCACAAGGCAGAAATAAATTCATCTCCTGTGGCTGCACTGACAGGAGCAGGGAATCAGCCAGAGACTTCAGGTGGATAAAGCAAGGACAGATGAGCAATTTCATGGACACATCACCTGCTTTGGCCTCAAGCACTCCCAGGAATGGACTTTAACAGCCCTAACMAAACTTTTAAATTCTCCTTTCATTTGGATCCATCTAGTAGTGGATCTCCGAATTGCTTAAGGACATCTCACTTTGTGTTTTTGTGATGGAGGGTCCTCCTCACTGTGCAGAGGGGTCTGGAGAGCTGCACGAGCCTCAGGGAGCTGCTGCTTCCAGCACCCAGCAAAACATTTCTGTAACCAGATGGTCTGCAGACATGCAATGCAGCCAGTAAAACATTTCTGTAGATATCCAGTGCAGCCAGTAAAACATTTCTGTAACCAAATGGGCTGCAGACATCCAGTGCAGCCAGTAAAACATTTCTGTAACCCAATGGTCTGCAGACATCCAGTGCAGCCAGTAAAACATGCCCTGCACAAACCTCCTGTGTACACCTTCCCTCTCTGGGGCAGGCAGGGCTCAGAACCAGGGCTGGTTTGAAGCTCTTAACAGAAAATTGGTTGTGGTTATGAGTTGCAGGTTGGAGAAATGTCCGAGCTCAGTCCCTGATGGAGGGTGTTCCCAGCAGAGAAGGTGCTCAGTGCTGATGGAGGGATTTCCTCCCAGCAGAGAAGGTGCTCAGTGCTGATGGAGGGATTTC